GGGGGCTCCCTCCTCCCCCCCGCGCGGGGGCTCTTCACCCCGATCCTGAGTCCGGAAGCCCTCGCGCGCCCTGCCGCCGACGCGGCGCCGCTCTTCCCGTGCGCTCGGTCGGTTCCTTTCTGGTGGTAACTGAGCGCGGCAGTCTGGGTGCGCGCCGAGGGAGCAACTGGACAGGACAGCGCATCGCCTGTCTTTCTCCTCCACTCACACGCAGTTGGATGGGGAATGCAGTCACCACGCGCTGCCCTCTTCTCGGGCACCGTCCCCGTTAATCTCCTGCCCTGTGGACGTGTCAGCAGGGGAGGCCAGTCCCCGAGGACCTCACGCGGGGCAAAGTCGAGGGGCAGGAAGACAGAAGGCCCTCAGTGGCTGCATCAATGGGCGCAGGCATGGGAACCATTCTGAGGATGGCGCAGGACTGGGCAGTGTTTGGTTCAGTTGAGCACAGGGTCGCCACCAACTTGATGTTATCTGACAACAGACAGTCACAAGGATGTGTGCAGGGGAGCTGGGAAGAACGTGCCTTGTCGATGACGGATGCTTTGCACTAGTTCATGGGTTCCAACTACTACTACCAGCAAGGCAGGCCTGTGGTGGTGTTTTTTTGGACCAGGTCACTTGCTCAGTAAGGTGCTCTGATTCTCTCCCAGAGTCCTATGCAGGCAGGGCCCAGCTTGTACTGTTTGTGACCCTCACAGTTGGCCACTGGGGCCCTTAAGAGAGGTCAGATCTGGGTCGTCCCTTGAGAAACAGTGTGGTGAGGAATCAGACCCACACACAGATGGCACAGGAGGGGACCAGGAAAACACAGAGGTTATGGACACAGAGGGGGCTTCTGGCTAGTCTGTCTGAGGGAGCAAGGAAGAGTTTTTAAAGGGTAAGGTAAAATTTGCCCATGGGTCCTTGGGGAGTCAAAGAAATAAAGCTGGAGAGAATTGTTATTATCCTGCGGAAAACCCTTCCCCAGAATTGTGTATCCTTGCAAACCAGGGGCTGGGCTGCACGTACTAATGAAGGTGCACTTGGCATGTTCATTTTATTAGGTGGCTATTGGTGGGTCAGTGGTTAGTAGAATTCTCAGCTTCTATGTAGGAGACTCAAATTCAGTTCCTGGCCAATCGTCCATCGTGTTCAGCTCCCCACTTCTGTTGGTGGTGCTTTGTGTGTTGCTCCAATGCATAATAGGTTTCAGCAGAGCTTCCAGACTAAGAGGGACTGGAAGAAAGGACTGGTAATCAACTTCCCAAAATTCGTCGATGAAAATCTGAAGGATCACAACGGTCTGTTCCGCAACCCTACATGGGGCTGAAGCAGGCATTATTTTTATCTGTTGTGCATGGTGTCCTCATGTGTTGTGGGCAGACTCTCCGGCAGCTAATTTTTATCAGATGGAACATAAAGGGAAAAGAGGGGGGACAAATGTTGTGGAAAGGAGAGAGGCCTCTGGAGTCATGGGAGAACTCGGCTCTGGCTTGATAGAATTGGGAAGCTGCAGACGGTTTTCCAAGGCACCTTACAGCTGAAAGTCTTATCACTTCCTCCCAACACCTCTGTGGGATGGGCCAAGCAGGGATCATTGTGCCTCTGAGTTTCTTAGCGGGGCTAGAACTAGGTTATATGTCAATCATTGTGACAGAAATTTATTTTTTCACAGTATAGGAAGCTGGAAGGCCAAATTCAGAATGCTGGCTCTGGGGTATTGCCCTTTTTGTCTGCTCTGGGGGAAAAGGCTTGTCTCTTTCAACCTCTTTCCCTCTGTTCCTTGGAGATCTCTCCGTAGCATTGATCCCTCTCCATTTGGGCTTCCTTGTTGCTGTGTTTAATCGCAAAATCAATCATTTTGAAAACATCCTACAACTGAGATGGCACTATAAGTATGACAAAGCAGCTGTATTCCCACATGGGATTCTATTCGCAGGGGGAGGATTGAGGTTTTGCACCTCTTTCTTTTTTTTGATTCACTCCCTAACCTCATTCCTGAGATGAGTCATCAGCCTACAGTCACAGTGGTCAGTGGCCCAGACACTGCCTAGTCAGATGTGGGGGTCTCGTCCAGCGAGACCCTCACGTAGTGACCCGAAGAGGCGACGAACCTGGATGGAGAAAAGACACGGAGACGTGGAGCAAGACAAATGCTGATCAAGCTCAATTTATTTGGGCAAAACTCGGGGTATATATTTGCAGTAAAGAGGGACTGGGAGGTGCATATTTTAATAAGGCGTGCTGCACAACATCCAATCCAATATGTATATTATAATGAAGCATAAGAATGATAACCAATCAGCTGCAGGTTAAAAGGGCACGCACTAGTTCTCAAAGACGTCCGCATGTAAATTAAGGTCCATCAGGTGTATTGCTAAGTCCATCATATTCCTAATATGGTATGTCTGTAGTCCAATGAGTGCTTGGTATTTTTAACCAATGGGTGAAGGGTGAGGAGGATAACCAACCAAGGTCACGTAGCTGCACAACAGTTACAGCTGCACAATAGTCAAAGAACATTTCGGGGGGTAACACAAACCGCAAGCTGTCTCAGACAGTTTCATAGAACAAGGAAGCTTTGGTGACTAAGATATCTTTTAAAAGCATAACCACCTGCCAGTTATTTTCCACTAGGGCCGGTCATTGTTTGAAGGACCTTGAGAATGTCTGCTAGGGCTGGCTCCCAACAGTCAGAGGCCCCCCTTGGCAGTCTGATGTGGCCTTTGGGCTTCCTATTCACAATAATGTTTATGAATGTAAAGCATGAATTAGTTAGGATAACAAAGGTACTGATTAAATTGAATCATTATCAGAATATTAATTGTGTCTTGCTAGGTGCCATCAAGTTGTTGCTCGTTGCTACTCAGAGTGCCCCATCTATAGTATCACAAAACGTTGCCCAGTCCTGGGCCGTTCTCACAGTAGTAGGTGTGTTTAAGCCCTTTGTTGCAGCCGCTGTGTCAGTCCATCTCACTGAGGCTCCTCCCCTTTTTCACTGACCCTCTACTTTACAAAGCACGATGTCCTTCCCTAGGTCCCTACTGATGAGTCCCAGGGAAACAAGACAAAGTCTCGCCATTCTCGCTTCGAAGTAGCATTCCGACTGTACTTCTTCCAAGACAGATGTCTGTTTGTTTGGCAATTCATAGTACAGTTTATGCAATATTCTTCACCAACACAGCCATTCAAAGATATCAGTTCTCCTTGGGTCATTCATATTCATTGTCCAGCTCTCACATGCATATGAAAGTGATTGAAAACACCATGGGTTAAGCCAGGTGGGCCTTAAGTCCTCAAAGTGACAGCTTTATGTTTGAACGTTTTACAATAGAAGTCTTTTTTTTTTTTTTTTCAATAGAAGTCTTTTACAATAGATTTGCCCAGTGTAATAGGTCTTTTGCTTGTTTGCTGCTTCCATGGACTGTGATTGATTGTAGAACCAAGTAAAACTGAAATCCTTCACAATGCCCAACTTTGTTTCTTATGACGTCGGTCTAGTTGTAAGGGTTTTGTTTTATGGCGAAAAGATGCAACCTGGAGATACACCTTTCCTGATTTTAAACCAGTGTGCCCTTGTTCTGTCCAAACGGCTTCCTTTTGTGGCTCAGTCCTACCTTTCCATGCATTAAATAACAAGATCTAGAGATGAGTACTAGAACTGTGATTTTGAGGTGCTATTTTGACACATCTGTACTGTAATGCAGTACAAAAAATACCTCTGATGTGTACTCGTGACAAAATTACAGATACTATTGATACTACTATGGTTTGTTGCTTATGTGCACCGATGAAGAAAACACTGCATTTCTGCTAGAGGTTGAGGAAAACAATTATGTAATTTTTCTGTAAGCCCAGATTCTAACCATGGCCCCACTGGGCTCTAACTCCTGGCCAAGGCCTTCTCCAGTGCTTGTTCTTTCATGATGTACATTATGTTCCTTCATTGTGTCCCTGCAGGTCACCTAACAAGGGGCAGTTCCTATCCTGTTCCTCATGCAGTTCTTGAAAATGCCCTTTGAGGGTACGTGCTTTATTTTCCCTTTAGAGACATAGTTTTCCTTTTATTGAGGACCATTATTAATCATCCCCATTGGCCATAAGGTCATTCTATTAATGGTATCATTAATGGTATCATAGTTTAGCCAATGGTGTAGAATTGAAAACACTGTTGAGAAAAGGAAATTATAGGTTTTCTCAATTTTTTATATAAGAAAGAGCTTTATTTTTTTTAAGAAAGAGTTTTATATATGAAAGCAGTTGATTATTGAAAAAACATCCCAGCCCAGTCCAGATCAAATCCATAAGTCTGATATTAGCCCATATGTCCGATACCAATCTAAATTCCTCTTCAAACTCACACAACACATGCAATGATGCTGAATGCAGGAAGATCACAGGCCAGTGAGTGGAAAGTCTTGTGGTTCCAGTGGCAGTAGAAGTATTGCAACACTGAAGGGGGTCTCCATGGGGCTCCTCCAGCTCCAGGGCTCTAGCATAGCTCCATGTGTCTTGTCAGCTGCCATGTCTCCCAGGTAGTGAGCCTCAATTTTTTGGTTGGTTTTTA